GATTTGTTACACACAAAAAATTTGGGAAAAAATTTTAGTTCGAACAGTGTCGAGCATATTCAAAAATATATTCGAAAGAAGGGAAGGAAAGTTGGTTGTTTACTATTTGATTTCTTTGAATTTTTTACTTTGTTTAATCAGGGGAATGAACTTTTCTCTTGTCTTGATACTTAAACCAAATTTTTGGTCTTTTTCCTACCTTAACCTAAACCATATTACAACCCTTTTAAAGACCATTTGATTAATGTATTTTGTTCATGTTTAGTAGTAGAGACTTGATTTAATTACAAGCTTATAATAATGTCTTGATTAGTTTTGACTTGAGCGTTATACTTTACTCGAAACACTTTGAGCGATAATGAGTGAATCCTTATGAGGTATTGAGTATTGTAACACTGAGATTGACTGGTTATTGAGATGCCGTGTTTTGCTTAAACTTGTTCATAGTTATGCCTTTGCTTGATTTTGATAATTGATATCATCTTGATTTGTTTGGTTGTATTGGATATATTTTGAGATGAAGGATGATAACTTTTGATTTTGATGTGTTGGTTGAGTAATGCTTGAGGAAAAGCACTAAATAAATGAGAGGGAATTTAATGAGTGATCCATTTTGATATTTGTAATACTCTAATCTAGTTTGACCCAAAAATCCATGGATTGCAGTGTTATATGGGACTATCGAAATAGTGACCCAAAATATTTTCTTTTAAAATTGTTTGTAAATTTATGAAATTTAACCATCCATGATGTAATATAAAAACATAATAAAATATGGGTCAAAATGCATCTGCAAAATAATACAAATACTGAGTTTCAACAAGATTTATGACTTAATACATAACAAGGTCAATAATAGTACATGCCCTCTAAAGATGTCTCAAGACGTATTCTGAAAGGTCTTTGGAAATATGCTCTGATGCACTGTAATATATGATAACTATAGCTCCCTACAATCTTCCCCTGAGAACCTAAGCACGGAAACACATTTCGAACGTTAAGCTTACGAGCTCAGTGCCTCATTGAAAACTATACTATAATATATGCATTCACTAGATGAAGTGACAAGTGGCACAGGTCTGAACATGCTTAATATTGTACTAGTAATTTGTGGCTGGCATCATGGTGCGGCTGAGGGATTATGCATCTCGGAGCTTACACATCCCTCTAGCACTGTCGAATCACCATTGGGTACTCCTGGGTGAGATCCAGAATTCTACATCGGAAACGTGCACCCATCAACCTACTTCATTGAGTCTTGGGGTATATGGCACCCAGTCGGCTGCTGAATTGTCATGGCACTAACTTGGATCCACTGAATGTTATATTTCTGCTAAAAGGAACTCGGGGGTCCTGATTATTTCCCGAGCATCAAACAATGATAGTTTTATGTAAACCTAGCTATATTTTGTTTCTACTATTGTTCACGTTTTGTGAGTATTAAATATGGACGTGAAATATGTGCAAGTATACAAAATCGAACAAGTAATAAAGTGATGAGTGAGTATTGTCTCCACAGGGATTGGTAGAAATTACAAAGTTTAACCAAATCAAAGCACTACTCTATCTAAGTATAATTAGTAATGGTATGCACTAATGACGAATGTCAAGGCAATAGATATTGGCGGGGATGAAATAATGGTATGATGTGGCATAAAATGGTAATGTTGAGGCAAAATGGATGTAAATATAGTGGCAACAAAGCAAATTATAAGGTAAAAATAATAACAGTACCAAGACAACACAAAATGGTAAAAACAAAAAATAAATGAAATGACTTAATCCACACAAGGGAAACTACTTCAGGAATGAGTTATGAGGAATGATTTAAGGATGCTAAAACTTATCTCTCTAATAGATTTAATCTATCTAAGCTTCACTTGGTCGACGAAGTTTGTTGAAATTGCTCCCGGTAACTCTAGTCAAAGGAACCTAATAAAATAGAATGCCACAACATCTCCTCTCATTCTCAACCGTGGAAGCCTACACTATTGATAAAAACTACCCCTTTTAGTATTTTAAATCCTATATTAGTCTCTCTCAAGCACTAAGGGATTAGGATATAGTACTACTTGTGTGGATCTTACTTGTGTTTCTCTCGAATACTCAAAGCATTAATAACTAAGTTTCTCTCGTACACCTAGCCTTCATCTAAGTAATGGACACTCTCATGCTTCCTACAAACTTAGAAGATGAAGCCTTTATAAGCAAAATAATTAAATGCAAAAGATATACTTTAATCTACCATTAAAACAAAATCAAACATCCATAAAATCAACCCAACCAAATAAGGTTAGTTCATGGTGGGGCTCGAATATTCCATGAAATAAAACATGAAAATCATTATTTCCAAACAACCCAACTAAAATAAATGAAAGAAAACACCAAAGGGATGGAGGAAAAAGCCTTCGACGCGCGCTGTCGGAGCTTCCCTTGACCACCACAAACCACCTTAGCACTCTAGCTCCTCTCGGACGCCTAGCTCGCCACTCCCTCGAGCTTCACCAATGGAGGAACACCACAAAGAAGATGGAGGGAAGAAAACAGTGGAGAAGATGAAGAAATTCAAGCTGCCAAGTGTAAGTGTGAGTGTGTAGCCTCTCTCCTCTCTCATGTGAGGTGTATTAACTAATAAAAATATCTAAGGGTATTCATGGGATTTAGCACTCCAAAATACCTATAATACCCCTATAGTCACTCCTTAGACATGATGTTGATCCTCAGAGGTGGTAGTGGTCCCCAGTAAGCGGTTATAACCATCAGATACGTGCCTAGCCAGTTGTCAATTTATAACAATATCTTTTTATGTTTTTTTGTGCCAGAAAAGCCAAGGCATTTCTATCTGCTTCAGCAATGTGTGATGCCACTACTTTCCTTCCCAGCTCCCCCTTTTCTTGTTGTTTTCATGCACATCACTAAAAGCCACACCATTCTCCTCATACAACACCTTAACAATATCAAATAACACAACCACCACAAATGAAATGATATGCATCTACATACGTCTAAAATGACCTAAATGAGCCCTTAATCAAACAATAAATTAAGTGAAAAAGGCCTTGAAATTAGCCTTTTTTGGGGAGTTATCACACCCCCAAACTTAAGTTATTTCTTGTCCTCAGAAAAATTAGGCTCCAACATGCTAGACATATCAAGAATTCAAGTACTTTTCCCTAGGTCAGGATTCTTTGTGGTACTGTGTGTGCGTGATTGTATCTGATCTATACTTAACAAATTTAAGAAATTTCTAATTGAGTCCCATAATTTTACTCCAGCATCACTTATTCATTTATCACATTTATACTCCCTTTTTACTTAATATTTTTTTATAATACTGCTACGAAGAGAGTCGACCCATCACACCTACTATCCCACACTCTAGGTGAAAGGGAGAATACCTTCCACCCCAAGCTTAAGGGAAGAATTGTCCTAAATTCTTAAAGAAAACCAATTAAGAAATGAAACTAATTGTCATGTTATGAAATGCAAAATGAATGCAAATAGAGGTACTTCATTTTTCGGTGGTGGTGTTGCAGTGGAGGTGCTAGAAGCTTCTCGTCTTGTTTTCTTGTAGAATGGTGTAGGTCTGGAATCAAAAGAATTTGAATAATAATCGACGATATTAACACGTCCAGCTGAGGTCTTCGTGTGACGGCTGCTTCGGCGTACGAGAGAAAGTTCAGGTACAGGAACATGATTGCGGTTTTTTCAGCTAGTACCACCTGATAGTCTGGAGTAGGAGACTGTAGGGATTCTGGAATGGACTCATCAACAGAAGGGTTAACATCATTGGAATCAAGAGATGCCTCAACATTAAATGTTGGCAGAATTTACAGAGTAAAGGCTGGTCTGTCGACCGTTCCAAGTCATGTTTGAAAAGCATAAATCCTTCAAGACTCCATCGTATGGGGTATTGTCAGCGTCTTTCTCAAAGTTTTCATGTTGATCTACAACACCCTGTAAATGAAAATATCGATTAATTACAGATGGTTTAAATCTAATTTACTTACCTAAAACGTAAATTGCATGTTGGTTCGTTTTGGAAATATTCGCGTAGAACTCTTTCACCAATAATGCATTCACAGAACCAGGGTGCCTCGCAAACTTGTGCAACTTATGGGGTTCATCTATATCCATTACGTCTGGTTTGAAACCACCATCTTGTTCATCATTGAAAATGAACCCAACTCAAAGAAAAGCTTACGGTTTTTGAAGTTTTGAAATATTTGCTTTGTCGCGTCGTCAACAAATTGTTGAGAAATATGGGCTTCGGCCTTCGTAGGTCTTTTTCATACCATTTTTGTACCAATTTAAGAGTAAAATGAAAAAAGGTTGAGAGGTTTGTTTGGCTTCAATGGCGTCGATTATGGAGGAGAAGAAAGAGAAGAAAGAGATGAAGAAAAACGTTAAAAGAAATAATGGGAGAGAATGAGTGAGTGGACGGTTAAAAGAAAATAAGTGGATGGGGTAAATGGGTAGGTGAAAAAGTAACTACAGGTCATAAATGAGATCTAAAAACACAATTAAAAAATGGAAATAAAATAATATTTCCCTTTTTTCATTGCTTTGTCTTTTTCCAATCCTTGGTAACCGCTCCAACATACTGCTGTAGTATTGGTGGGTCAACAAAATGTAATTATTCACAAGATGAAATAAAAAAATGAAAGAATAAATTTATTATTTATGCACAATCAGCAAAATTCAATGTCGTGGCATTGAAATTTGGTTTTCAAGCAGGCACACTCAAGCGTCGTGCAATAAAGCACCGACTTGTCGCACACAGGTGGAGCTCCATTATAAATTTCCAGACGTTGGTCATTGACTTTAAAGATCATCCCATCATCTATGTTATTGATGTCAACTGCTCCATGAGGATAGATATAGTGCATCCCAAATGGTCCTGACCAGCGAGATTTGAGCTCCCCAAGAAAAGGTTTAAGTATGGAACTGTAAAATTGTTGGCCAACATGAAAATTTTGTGGCATCAGTTTTTGGTCATGTCACTTCTTTGTCTTTTCCTTGTATATCATCGTATTCTTATATGCATGTTCCCTAAACTCTTCCAACTCATTAAGTTCTAGTAATCTCTGTTCCCTAGCTAATGGATCATCAAAATTCAATCTTTTAATAGCCCAATATGTCTTATGTTCGAGCTCAACACGAAGGTCGCAGGCCTTCCCATACACCAACTTGAATGGTGACATGCCTAGAGTAGTCTTGAACGCTGTTCTATATGTCCAGAGTGCTTCATCTAACTTAGGTGACCAATCCTTCTGCCTTGGATTCACCTTTTTTTCCTCTAAAATCTGCTTTATTTTGCGGTTGAATATTTCAACTTGACCATTTGTATGTGGATGAAATGTCATGACAATATTGTGATGGGACTCCATACATCCTAAATGCCTTGGCAATCAACTTATTATCAAAGTGAGCTCCCTCATCACTAATGATGGCTTTGGGACTCCAAACTGAGTGAAGATATTCTTATGCAAAGACTTGAGCATTGTTTTATAGTTATTCTTTGATGTTGCTACTGCCTCCACCCACTTGGATACATAATCCACAGCAAGTAAGATGCATAGATCACCTCGAGAAGATGAGAATGGTCCCATGAAATCAATGCCCCAAATGTCAAACAACACAATTTTTAAAATGCTTTACAATAATATTTCATGTCGATGGGATATGTTTCCAGTGCATTGGCATCGATTGCATGACTTGTAAAATGTCTGAGCATCATTGAATAGAGTTGGTTAATAAAAATCTGACTGCATAACTTTGGCAGCACGCCTTGCTCCTCCAAAATGGCCTCCACTAGGGGCTGCGTGACAATGGTATAAAATGTCTCGTTGCTCCTCTTCAGGTACACATCGTCTAATGAGTTGATGAGTACAATGCTTGAATAAACATGGCTCGTCCCAAAAATAGAACCTTGCATTGTGCTTGAATTTTTCTTACCTTGGATGTTCAAATCAAAAAGCAGTATTCCACTAACAAGAAAATTAACAAGGTCAGCGTACCACGAGAATGTCATGGCATATAAGATTTTCTCATCAAGAAATTCCTCTTTAATATCTACAGTGTCATGGCATTCAAATTTTTTCTCTAGCCTAGATAAATGATCATAAACTTGGTTCTCAGTACCTTTTCTATCTACAACCTCTAAGTTAAATTCTTGCAAAAGTAAGATCCACCTAATAAGTCTAGGTTTGACATCTTTTTTGTTCACTAAATATTTTATAGATGAATTATTAGTGTGAACAATAACTTTAGTGCCTATTAGGTATGGTATAAATTTATCAAAAGCAAATACCACGACAAGTAATTCTTTCTCAATGATTGTGTAGTTCAATTGTGTTTCATTCAAGGTACGCCAAACATAATATATAACATGAAAACGTTTACCTCGATGTTACCCCAAAACAACTCCTATGGTATAGTTGCTTGCATCACACATTAGCTCAAATGGTGATGTCCAGTCGGAAGGAACTACAATGGGTGCGTCGACCAATCCTTCCTTCAGCTCAGTGAATGCGCCGAGGCATAATTCGTCAAACACAAAGGGTTGGTTTTGTTGAAGAAAAGTGCATAAGGGCTTAGATATTTTGGAGAAGTCTTTGATTAATCTTCTATAAAAACCAGCATGTCCGCGAAAACTCCTTATGCCCTTGACAGAGGTTGGCGGTGGCAATTTTTCAATCATTTCAATTTGGTACACATTGGACAGGGCTCACCCATGTGCTATATGAAATAGGGTAAATAACTCCAGCATCAAGCCATTTCATAATTTCTTTCATTACCAGTTTCTTTATAACAGGGTTGAGTTTTCGTTGTGGTTCTATCGAGTTGTCATGGCATTCTTCTAGCAGAATCTTGTGCATGCAAATCGTGGGACTAATTCCCTTCAAATCAGCTATAGTCCAACCAAGTGCTTTCTATGTTGTATCAAAACACTTAACAAACTTTGCAATTGGTTAGTAGTAAGGTTAGAAGAAATAATCACATGTAAAGTATTATTGCTACCCAAATAAACATATTTAAGATGCCTTGGCAAGGGTTTAAGATTTAAGGTAGGTGCATGCAATAACGATGGATTAGGAGTAATAAATTCATCAAAATTCAAGGATTCAAATTTCATACTTGATCTAGCTAGTAGTAAACTAGATTTTTACACCCCAATTGGAAATTTGTCATAGTCCTCTAAGTTTTCATCATCAATCAAACATTCTTTGTCTGCTAGCTGAATGAAATTATTCAGGAAAAGGTGTTTGGTTTCTTCTTCAATTAATGATTTCAATTCAGACATGTCTTGGCATTCTTTAGGGTCATTAGAATACTTGAGAGAACAAAATAAATTGACAGTCACGCATTGATCGACCACTTTTATGGTACGTCCAATAGCTAGGAAAGGTCTACCCAGAATGATAGATACCTTGGCATCAACTTCATAATCAAGAATAAGGAAGTCGATTGGAAACAAAAATTTATCCACCCTTACTATGACATCCTTGACTCTCACTTCAAGTCTAACATGGGATCGGTCGGTAAGTTGTAAAATCACAAAGGTGGGTCTCGCATCTCCTATGACAAGCTTTAAGAATATCGACTTTGACATTAAGATTACACTTGAGCCAAGATCATATAGTGACTTTCCAACAAAATTAGATCTTATAGAACAGGGAATAATAATGCTGCCTGGATCATTTTGCTTTGGTGGCAACTTACTCAATGAAGAGAAAAATTCTGTTGTCGTGGCAATTGTCTTTTTCTTAAGAAATTTGGAATACGTCAACATTTGTTTAATAGCTTCCAAGAAAGTTACATTAATATGGAGCTGGTCATGAATTTCCACAAACTTCTTAAATTGAACTTCATCATTATGCTTCTTCAGTCTTTGTGGGAAGGGTGGTGGGGGTCTAGCTTCTTTAACTGCGGGTGTCGGAATTAGTTTTGCCTTGTTATCAGAATTTTGAGTTTCAGAAAGCTCATTAGTAGAACTATCCTTTATCATTCTCGGTAATGAAATCATCGTATAATTCAACTTCAACTTGTTAGACAATAGGGGTAGAATTATCATGTTGCGTCCCCCCAACCTTCACTTGTTGATTAATTTTTGTTCAACTCCTAAGAGTCAACACATTGCATTGTTCTTTTCCATAAGATTTAGTGACTTCAGTGTCACTAGGCAAACATCATTGTTGACGTTCTTGTAATGTGACAACAATCTGACCAACTTGACCTTCCAAAGCCCTCAAAGATGAGTTATGGCTTTAAAGTAAGACGTCTTGGCTATGAAGCAAAGCTCCTCCATTTTTAATTGAAGTATAATGGTCTTGCAACATTATCTTCGTGGTAGATATGAAATCTTGAATTGTAGCTTCCAAAGAACTCATGGTCGCTGAAGATGAAGATCATTTATTATCATTATGTCATGGCATAGTGTTTTGGTTGCCTTGAGATTCAGTGTGATTCTACTGACGAGTAGGTTGAGTAGCATTATGAGCTCCTTGATTACCCCATGAGAAATTGGGGTGCTGACGTCATCATGCATTATAAGTGTTAGAATATGGATTTTTATTATTTCTATTGAAATTACCCACAAAGTTGATGGACTCATGATTGGTTGGGCATTCGCAGTTGTGATAATTGCCTTGCCATAACAAACATGCCAAGCTAGTTGCTTTCACTTCATTTACCTCAGTGGAACGTTATAAAATTTTTAGCATATTAGTAATAGCTGAGATTTGAGCGGACATCGAGTCCTTGGTATCTAACAGGAATGTTTCAAGTGCTTTCGTCCTACTCACAAACTTTGAGAAAGGAAATTGATAGTCATTGTTGGCAATTCTATCCAAAATAGAAAACGCCTCAATAGGTTATTTATCCAGTAATATCCCATTTGTCGATGCATCAAGCATCATCATCGTGGGTACATTGACCTTATTGTAAAACATAATTACTTGAGTCCAATCGTGAAAACCATGATTTGAGTACTTTCGAAGCAAACTCTTGTAACAATCCCAACACTCATACATAGATTCGTCGTCACCCTGGTGAAAGGATGCTATGTCATTCTTTAGCTGAGTGTTCATGTTTGGTGGGTTATATCACAATAAAAAACTCTTGCAAAGATCGGCTCATGATTCCATCGAACCGGATGGAACACCACTCAACCAAGCCCTTGCTCGGTCACACAAAGAATATGGAAACAACTTTAATTTTATCACATTGTCGTGCACTCCTTCTTGGCGAAAAGAATCACAAACTTCCAAAAAGATACGAATATGATGCATGGCATCTTCAGCTGGTATCCCCCAAACTGCCCTATGGAATTCAACATATTAAACATGTCTGGTTTAAGCTTAAAATGTGTAGTTTGAATTTCGGGTGCCACAATTCCAGGATTTAGATCATCCAGCATCGGATTTAAATGATCACGAATAACACGAGGCCTATCAGTAGGTCAAACATTTTGTAATACCTCGACATTATGATTTTTATCGTCTTGACCAATGCACTGGTTCCCAATTTGATACATATTTTCTCGAGCACGTTGAGCTAGTCTCTTTTGCCTGAAAAGTCTCTCAATCTCAGGTTCAATTGGTTACAATGGCTCATCAGAATGTCATATAGGCATACACCAAATAAGCATGAAAAGAATAAAGAAAAATATCACGTAAACTATACAACAATAAAGAAGCAAAAATAAAATGTTCTGGCAAAACTAATTAACTTCACGTTGCTAATCCCCGAAAATGGCACCAAATGCATGTTCACGTTTTATGAGTACTAAATATGGAAGTGAAATATGTGCAAGTATACACTATCGAACAAGTAATACAATTATGAATGAGTATCCTCACAACAGGGATTGGTGGAAATTACAAAGTTTAACCAAAGCAAAGCACTAATCTATCTAAGTATAATTAGTAATGGTATGCACTAATGATGGATGTCAAGGCAATAGATATTGGTAGGGATGGAATGATGGTATGATGTGGCATCAAATGGTAATGTTAAGGCAAAATAGATGTAAATGTAATGGCAACAGAGCAAATTATAAGGTAAAAATAATAATAGTACCAAGTCAACACAAAATGGTAAAAACAACAAATAAATGAAATGACTTGACAATTAACAAAAGGGAAACTACTTCAGGAATGTGTTATGGGGAATGATTTAAGGATACTAAAACTTATCTATCTAGCAAATTTAATCTATCTAATCTCTAGTCAAATGAACCTAATAGAATAAAATAGAATTCCACAATATCTCCTCTCAGTATCAACTATAGCAGCCTATGCTATTGATAAAAACTACCCCTTTTAGTCATTGAAATCATATCTTAGTCTCTTTCAAGCACTAAGGGATTAGGATATAGTACTACTAT